GCATCAGTGGTTGTGAGCCACCAGATATGGGTGCTGGGAATAGAACTCAGTTCTCTGAAAGAACATTAAGTCCTCTTAACTGCTGAGCCTTCTCTCCAGCCCTTACAGAAGATCTGAAACTAACTCATTTTGTTCAGATATATAATGTCGTTTTTGTTTTTTTTCAAATAAGAGAAAGTCTTCATGCCTTCAAAACATCATGGGTTTTTGTTTTTTGTTTTTTAAATCTAATTGTATCAAATGTTTCCAGAATTAAAGCAGATCTTTTTCTTAACAGGGATAAGAATTTTCCCAGTACTTCACCACTATACAGTATTCTTGCTTTTAGTTTGTGATATGATTCCATCACGGTCAAATCCATATCTATTCTGCCAATAAGTTTTTTTTTTTTTAATGAGGTCTCCATGGTGCTGACATAGGATGTATCATGTGCTCAGGAGTTCTCCTGAGGTGTAAGTAAACAACTGAGCCACAACACGATCATGACCACATCTGGCACCTGCCTTCTCTGAAGGATAAAGGGTGGGGCCACACTTTGCCCACACAGGGGCAGGTAATGCTCTTCTTCAGCAAACAGCTCACACAGCAGAAGAGTTCAGGTGCGAAATGTAACTGCCTGAACATGATAATCACCTTATCCTGTCTGGCATCTCCGAGACAACATCTTAGGTGTTGTCCAGGGCCCTCCGAGGACAACACAGAAAAGTCTTGTAAACGGTACCTAATGCTATGGTTTACTACTCAGTGTGTCTGTTTCTCCATGAATACAGTTTACTTATGTGACAGCCATTTTTACCAGCAATATAAGTCTCGTGCTACCTTTTCTGGCTGATAGGGGAAAGGAGCTAGAACGTTAACATAGTTCAAATTCTCATGCAGAAGAAAGAAGTTTGCTCACTGAGTCCTACAGGAAACTGGTATTAACTTGCTTGGAATGGATTCTTTAGATATGCCCTAGATTATAATTGCTAATAACCACTGTTCAGGGCTTCAGCGTTGGTATTTATATCTTAGATGAGATGCACATGGGAGAGTTTTTTTCTACCATGTTTGGATGTCGATGTCTTTAAACTACTTTGTTATTATTATGTGTATTCAGACATGCTGTTGCACACGTATGGAGGCCAATTGACAACTCTGTGGAGCAGACTCTCTCTTCCACCAGATCAATGTACAGATGTATCAAATGCAGATGTAAAAAAAAAATGAGGTTGTTAGTATATTTCTCAGTTCCTTACTGCTTTTAGTAAGGTAATAGAAGAAAGTACAACTAAAAACTGCTTGGTTTATATGCAGAAACAGAAGGAAATGGGACTATCTCGATGTTCAGGGCTTGTGATATTGAAGTTACTTTTCTGCCCCAAATGTTCATAGAGATAAAGGCATGGTCAAAATAAGGGTATTGTCCTTCCAAACAGCTTTTGCATTTTTGCTGGCTTTAAGGTGGCCTTTGTAAAGATGACAGAGGAAGGTAGAGATATGGAGGCCCAAATTATTCAGGGTCTAAGAATCTGAGCTTGCTTTACTCAGCAGGGCTGCATAAGGGGATGGATTGACGACGGGTGCGGTTACCAGGTACTGGGAAGGGTCTACACTTGACTGTATGGTGTGCTTTGACCTAGCATGGGGGAAGGTCTTTTGCCAAGCCTCTTGGTATTGTTATAAAAAGCCCTTTTGAAGAGACAGAAGGGGCTGTTGGGTATTGAACCAAGTCTTCCCAAAGCTATCCTGTGTTTCTGTCTTTCTTCTCATTGCCTTGGTCTATCATGCTATCTCATATTTTCTTATCCCACTCTCCTCCTCATAGGAACCCTGGAAAAGGCGGAAGCAGGCCTCCCACAGATGACTAGAAGGAAACAGAGAACTAAGCCTTAGGGGCTAGGCCTAGAACAGATGTCAGTTGTGGTTATCTGCCCAAGCAATGGACTGGGAGCAACTAGACCACAAGCTTATGGGGTTTAAAGAAGCCTAGTTGCCACAGAAACCACAAGTCTGGCCTGGAAATGTCTGTCTCTTTGAACTCCTTAAAGCAACATAGGCTCAAAAAACCTTCAAACCCAGGCCAGCTGAAAGGAAGAGTTGTGGGTGACGGGTAGTCCCTAATGGGGGCATACACGCTAACAGTAATCTCTGATGTGGCTACGAGTGGTTATGGGCAAAGTGGATCTTCCAAGGGAAGCGAGCTGGCCAGACTGCCTGACTAAGGCTCTGCTTCCATTGCCAGAACAGCCACAGAGTTCTTAGTTGTTCCGGGGTGAAGATGGCTATGCAGCGGCAGCCAGCTGTGTGTTCTCTTCACAGGCCTTGTCACATCAGTCAACCCCGTGCCTGTGGCACCACCCTACACCCGCTGGGGACGGGGAGTGGTAGTCTGTTCAGTGGTTTCCATGACACTATAAGAAGTCACTTCAGACATTGATGGAGAAAAGAGAAGTCATCCTGCTCTGCCCTTGATGTGGACACCCATCCTTATCCTCTTATGCCTCTCTCTGAGTCTGTTCAGAACCCACCTCTCCAGTGGTTCCCAAAGCCCTGTAAGTAAAACCATACTCCTCAGCCTTCCGTTATCCTCCTCACCTCACGCCCTCCTCTGCTCCTTCACTGGAACATAAACGCTCAGGGCAAGGCTTAACCTTGTCTCCGGCTGAAATCTTGGCACCTAAAAATGACTGTGGTCTCTGGATGATTATTTGTCGAAGTGGAAGGACTAAATCATTAGGCCCTTGTAATTGCTGAATGTGGGAAGTTAGATATTTGATTCTAATTAGTTCTTTCGATCACCGCGCCACCAATAGCAGATGCTGATTTGGATGTGAGAAAATTGGGATCGCTCCTTGTAAGGTGTCATTATGTGTTAGGAAACCGAGCGCACAGTTTGTCTTACTGGTCAAGTGCAGTGATCGCTAAAAGCAAGACATCTGGTCTCATCTGTGCTGTGTGTTTTAAGGCTGAAACAGTGGAGCGGAAGATGCAACTCAAGGGTGGAGTGCTTGCCTGGCGTGCATGAAACCTTGGACTTCTCTCCAACCCTGGAAAAACAAAAACGATTGAGATAATGAAGTAGGAGGAGTTCCATGACTTTTTTTTTAAATCACTGGTGTTCATTAAGTGTAACACAATGACCCGAGACACCTTGGAAATCCGTTAGTCTCCTCCAGCCGTGGTTCAACAGACTGATATAATTACTACTCACTCAAGGCAGAAGCTGAAGTCCACCAGGCGGTACACCTGTCAATCCAACCCAACCTACTTAAGCCTGGTGCCAGTCGGTGTGCTGAGCAGCCAGGATGTAGTGCCGTAAGTATTAACTTTGACTTCCTATTGGCTAGAGAGACCAGAGGTGGCAGAGAGGTAATTACAACACAATTCACCAAGAGCTACTGTTGGAGACATGTAATATTACAGAAGTCTATACCACCGGAGACAAGAAAAAAAAATCAGAAATACATGTTTGGTTATCAGCTAAGCATGGACTCAAAAGTGTAACTGGAGAGTGTTCAAGTGAAGGAAGATGGAGCGTTTTCCTGGCCAAAAAAGATCTATGTCAGAGAGTGTGCAGCCATCCATCTTATATCCATCCATCATTCTCCTTCCCTTCTGAATTTATTTTCTAGCCTGTAGGGCTAACTCAAATACCCACTGTGTTGATGGAACTTCTTCAGGAACCCAGCACAGAGCCAATAAGCAGCGAGAACACCTAAGGAGCGGCCAGTGGGGCCTGGAAGCAAGCCTGCATCACATTCACACAAGTTTGATTTTCTGCAGAAAAAAGTATTTTGACTCTTACATTTTTTGGACTCATCCGAAATGGATGACACCAAGCTGCCTGCCTAAAACAACGTCCTCAGCCTGAACTGGCATGGATGTTTTCTGAGATTAAAATAGAAACGTGTTTTGTTAACAGAAAACAACTTGGAAATCAAAGAGGCATTGAAGTCGGAACCATTAGTTTTCCTTTTCTTGCAGAAAATTCCTGTTTTTACAAACACTGATAAATCAGGAGAGTGCAGCCACCCTGCCACAGGACTTTCCATTAGCGATTTGAAGTAGCAGAAACCTCAAAAAGATGAGTATGCAGTGACACTTATTAGCAAGTACTTTTAACATTTATAAGCACCTACTACGTGCCGGGCAATGTTGTAGGCACCGAAGAAAGACAGCTATTCTTCTAGGGTTGACACTATAGCAGAAAGAAGACATAGAGACCATTTACACAGTCAGACAGAAGACCAGCAGGGTGGGGGAAGGGCAAAGTACAGTGGGAAGAGAAACCTGAGGGTAAAGGTAAGAGTTTTAAATAGTATTCCTGTTTGGCTCCTCCGGTGATTTTTGAACAGCCTAAGGGAGCGAGACAGTGAGCTGTACAGACAACCTCCTTAATGTGAGGGCATGCCTAGAGGGTGCCAAAGTCCAGAGACCATGGACTGAGAAGAGAGGGACAGGACAGCCATTGTGGTATGATTTGAGGAGAGGAATGACTCAAGTTAACGTATATTTTAAACGTATATTTTAGGACAATCGTGTATTTTCACATGAGCAGTCTTAGGTATATAATGCTTTCAACTCCGCAACAATAGAGCAGTAACTACTTCAAAGGGTTCCACAGAGGTCCCCTCAAGACTAGCCACCACAAGTCGCCTAAGTGGTAACTGCCCTTCCTCTAGGGGGTGGGAGGGCACCTGCCCTACCCACCGGTTGCGCAGAGCCGAGTTGGGGGAGACAGGAACAGTCAGCACGTTTCTTTTTCAAACCCCGACCTGAGAGCCAGACACTTCTTTTCAGGGCTGTGCCAGCTCTGCACGAGAAGCAATCTGAGTCTGCCTTCGTGAATCAGTCCAAGAACCTCTCCCGTGTCGGTGCAGAAAGCTTGGGTTCTCCCCTGCAGCCCACCTGTCTGGGGAGCCCCCACCTGTCTGGGGGACCCTGGCAGAGTGCGTACACCTCCCCCCCCCCCGACTCCAATCCCCACCCCAGTCTCCCGCGGTTTTCCTCGGGCTCACCCTTTCAGGCAGGTTCCCCAAGCTCGCCCTCTTCCAGGCTGTGCTCGCAACTTTTCCCGCAGCCCCGGGGCAAGGGCCACTCGTGGCCGACGCTGCTCGCACGCGGCGTCCCCGCCCCTGAGCGGCCCCATCCGCGGGGGCCCAAGGGAGGGGCGAGCCCCGGCGCGCGCCCAGGGCACGAGGCCGGCGGGACAGGGAGGGCGGCTGGGCTGCGCGGCGCGTCCCCCTCCCGCCTCGCCCCTCCCCGCGGGCGGCGCGGCTCCCGCCGCAGCACCTCCCCTCGCCGGGAGGCAGCCGGAGGGGCTCTGCCAGCCCGCCGCAGACCTGCCCGGCTGCGCGCCGCGCCCTGTGCGTCCCAGCCGCTGCGGGTGCCACGCCGAAGGCGACCGGGAGACCCCGGGACGCACAGCTCCCCGCAGCCCCGAGCGCCCCGAGCGCCCCGCGCCCTGGCCCGCCGGCATGGCTGTGCTCCTGGCGGCGGTGCTCGCGTCCTCGCTCTACCTGCAGGCGGCCGCCAACTTCGATGGGAGGTGAGACCGGGTCCCCGGCGCCCTCTCCTGCCCGCAGGGACCTCCGATCGCGCAACCCCGCTCCGGGCTGGGGAGCCAGAGGCTCGTGCCCCGTATGCGGTGAGCGCGAGCCGGCGCAGGGACACAGGTGGCCAGTTGGGGCGTCCCTGCAGCCCGTGGCCAGTGCTCGGGGTAGTGGACTGTGTCCGGAGGGGTGAAACTTGCAGGTGACCAAGCAAAGGGTGGCGGCGAGGACGGGACTCGGGAACGAGGGGCACCCGCGAGCTCCCCTCTTGGTTTCTGGAGGGGACAGGAGCTTAACATGAGGACTGAGAGGGGACGCTGTGTGTGTGTGTGTGTGTGTGTGTGTGTGTGTGTGTGTGTGTGTGTGTGTGTGTGTCCACGCGGCACCGCTCAGACCTGGCGGGCCTGACTGATGCGTGCTCTGACAGGTCCCAGCAACCTCGAGCTGGGTCTCTTCTGTCACTCAGCGTGTCCTCCCGAGGCTGCCCGCACGCGCTTTCCTCTGAGATCCCCGGCTCTGCGTGAGGGTCGCTCCCCCGAGTCCCCGCTGAAGGCCTCAGCTGGACAGGTTCCCCGCTGGCTCCCACCACCACCCACCCCTGCCCCTCCACCCCTCAGTGCCTGTGCCTCAGCTGCCTTGAAGATGCCGCACCTGTTTTACCTGCAATCTTGGAACGAATCAATTCCAGGATTGATTGGCTTTCCTGTCCCTGGAGGGGACCGGAGGGGAAGCCACGGAGCGCGGAAGAGAGAAGGCGGCTGCTCTCCTTGTTCACCACCTGGTCCGAGGAAATAGAAAGTTAGGGGTTGTTTTGTACTCTGGGCCTGAGGGTAACGAGAAGATGAATTGAAAAGATAAAGAGTTTAAGGAAACGTGGGAAGCAGTCAGGGGCTAAGTCCTTTTTGTTTTCAAAATCAATTCTTTGCCCACATTTGAATTCGTGGTGCTTTGCTGTGGGACACACACATTTATAAGAAGCACACACACTTGTAATGTATAAAAGCTTTTAAAAAGGCGTCCAAAACAGCCTATTTAGATGTACAGAAGGAAGACAGTCTGGTCACGGTGTGACTCTAAACAAGGTAACATCGCACGTTCAATGCTATCTGATGCACAGGATCTGCGCCTTAAACTTGCAGTCTCTTTGGGAGTACTTTACATTAAAGAGGGGAATAATATGAATTGCTGATGCAGACAGCTTACACAAGGACACTTGATGGGAGAGGGCAGCTGTATGGAAAAGAGCTTTGCTGCATTTGATTTGTGAATAACCCGCTCCTCTTGCCCACTCCCTTATCTGCCCTTTATACTGAGCAGAAATTCTCTCTGCTTTGGCAGACCTTCTGTTAATGCAATGCTTTTCAGAGTATGGTGCATCAGTGTATGTATGGGTGCATCAGTGTATGGAGCATCAAACCTGCCCACCACACCCCCACTCCAGCAGCTGTGAGTCTGGGGACTTTTATTTCAACCTTTCAGAAACCACCCGGTGAATTGTGGCCTGAGAGGTCTTGGTTTCAACTGGCACTTTTCTGCATCCTACTCCTGTGTGCTGGGTGTGAGTACATTAAACTTAACAATTAGAAATTAGATCATTGAAGAACTCGGGAAGGTGTCTTATCCTCGGATTCCTACAGATAGTAAGTAAGGAGTTTGTAGAAAAGGGCTGAGTGTGGTTTAAGTATATCGTTGTAAATAAAACAAAGAGAAAAATATTGTAAATCTCGAGTGTCTTTATTTATTTTTCATTTTTTGTTTGTTTGTTTGGTAGGTGGCCCAGGCAAATAGTATCTTCGATTGGCCTCTGCCGTTATGGTGGGAGGATTGACTGCTGCTGGGGCTGGGCTCGCCAGTCCTGGGGACAGTGTCAACGTGAGTATCAGGTCTGGAGGCTCCAGTGCCCTGGGGAGTGTATCTTTCTGTCATGGCTCTCGACTTGACTCTGCACCTAGGAGGGTTGGCCATTGCTGAGCAAGTCTTGGCTGTGCAGATTCTGACCCAAATCCTTATCCTGCCCCTTTCCAACCGAAAGCGCCTGGGTTACGGTGCCAGCTTTACCAGTCACAGAGAGCCACCTAGCACGCTGTCCAGTTTTTATTTTATTATTTTTGTGTGTGTGTGTGCCGATGTTTAGCTTGCATGTATGTCTGTGCACCATGTGGGTGTTGGGGATTGAACCCGGGTCTTCTGGAAGAGCAGCCCGTTTAACCGCCATCTCTGCAGCCCTGTGCTACTCATTTAAGCTTTTGTACTCAGCTTCTTCCACTCCAGGGTTCTTATCAGGCCCTTTCTTCCTTTGCTCCAAGCTCTGAGATGAAGGTGAGATAATGAGTCTAGACGATATTTACACTAAATAAACTCGGAACTTAAGAGTGCCTGTAAAATCTTCACCAGAACTATTGTGTACGGTGGCACGCTTGCCATTTGCAAGTCCTTTTTTAGGAAGAGAAGTTGGACTGACATTGTCTACATGGGCCAACCAGTAGAGTCATGGAAAACATCATTTGTAAATTCCATAATTAATCAAGTCCAAAAACAGACCCATCCCACCCCCAATGATCAAGCAGCTTTCTGAGGCATCTTTTGAGCACAACATCTGGTAAGATGATAGGAACTGAGCTGGGCTTCACACTGGGACATCTTGTCAGGCAGGGGCTATCATAGAGAAGGATGGGTGAGGTTAGAGGGCAGTGGAGGAGCCTGGCCTAGATATGGACTGGCCGTGTGAGGAATCAGGAAGATGAAGACTTCCATCAGCTATGATCAAGAACACTCAGATGTTTAACTTTGTTGAGGAAGGAGAGTGATTGTCACAGGTTGATCAATGGACATTCAGGCTGTTGTCTCTGGGGACAGGCAGGTGAAGAGGACTAACGTTTTGTTTCCTGTGGCTTATAAGCACTGGCCCCTTGCTCATTTGGGGCATTGCCTCCTGCTAAAGAGAGATGGAGTTTCTGGTTTCTAGTACATGAAAGGACCAGCCAATATAGGCCTGCTTTCACCGGTTAGTCAACTCAGTGTTGTTTCAGAGAGAAGATGGTCCAAAACAGGACTGGTCCCAGGTAGGATGTAGCCTTCTACCAAATACATGACAGTGTTAGAAATACTGTCAGTCAGAGGCTGTCAGGCATGCTGGCTGACGAGCCACCAGACTGAATTACCAAGGAGAAAGGCGAGCATGGACTGTCTTGGCCCGGCAGTGAATCAAATCCACCCCAGATGAGAACAGGGTCAGCCTCTTTGTAGGAAGGCGTTCACTTGCCTTCTTCCCTGCAGGAACTTTCAGGAAACCGGCCAATTGAACAGTGAAGGGCCCTCGGTCCATGCGTCGCCCAGCCCCACCCAGGTCAAGGAGCCATGCCCTGGCGGAGCGCCCTGGGCAGCAGTCGGGCACACCTTCACACCTGCCCCGGAGGCAGAGATTAGGAGAATGTAGGTTCGATGCCAGGTGTGTTGAAAGAATTCTAGGGTGAAAACTCCTGAGCTCTCTCGAAAGGTCCTGCTGTGGAATTCCCCCAGCAACACTAGGAGCTGTTCTATTTTTCTGTACCAAGTAATTAAAATTTCTCAAGTATGCACTGGCTTGGCAAATCTAAATCTGAACAAGCACAGAGGCCTTTTAAAGTTACAGTGTTGTTATGAAACGTAATCATCCAAGAGATTTCCTAGACCTTTTCTTCCTCCCGTGCATTTCCTAGCAGATTGGAGATGCTGTCATTTTCAAACCTTCGTTTTGTCTCTAAAAGAATGCAAAGTAGGGACAGGACATTCCGTAGTTCTCTTTTGCTGTTTGTTATTCCTGGGAATGGGAGGAAAGTGCGGTGTAGAGATTGGAGATTAAAATGGTCACGTTACGAAGGTATGTAAGATTGTCTTTCCCACATCACTGTTCATCTGAGGCGTGGTAAAGTTCGGGAGCCAGGAAGACCGAGGGCAGCATGGACGTAGTTCTGGACAGCCTGGTTTTAAATTCCAGTTTGACCTTCTTGGCTGTGTGACCTTGGTTGAATAATTCATCTCTCCTGTGCTTCCTCCATTTCCTTCATCTCTGGAATCAATCTGAAGCATCACACACCTTAACTGCATGTAACACTGAAATGAGGTATCATTCGTAAAGCACTGAAAATTCTTCCTGGCCAGAGCAAACACTACAGTTGTACTTGGTCATGTTGGATGTTCAGGGTGGAGAGCACAGGAAGTGTAAACATGTGCTATCAAATTCTGTGTTCTTCAGTCGGGAAAAATACACACTTTGTGTTGCTACCGGCCAAATTAAAAATGGTTCTGAGGTTCCCTGTTGCAGTGAAATTAAGTTCCTCTGGATTTGAAAAGGGGGCCTTAGCTATTATCACCGAAGATGGAAAGACTAGAAGGGTGAATTAAGGGGTAGAAGTATTCTTCCGCCTGTTTGCCTTTTGCAGAACCTTAGATGGTCCAAATGTCTTCTGTCAGCTCAGAATCTGCCTTCCTTTGTTTGGATCTAAGGTAGAGGAATGTGAGGGCAAGAGGTCAGCTCAAAGGGGTAGAACAGCACCCAACAGTGGCTGGTGGGATGAATGAGGTATCTCTAGACGCTGTTGTGAATGCCTTTGCAAAACTGGAAGTTTTGCACTCAATCCAAGAAAAATGCCTTTAATTAAATCTGGTAACGGTTATCTA